TTTTACGACCATAATAACCAGTTTCGGTCAATACGAAATTAGATACCCTAAATATGACAGGAAACTCAGGAAGAACTTGGAACTTGAGTGAAATTGCATACCCTGTTTATGACGAGAAGCTCGAAAAACCATACCCTGTTCAGCGGTTCATCCCCGTATAGTCCATATATGGGAGTACTTCCCCCCTCCGCGTAGCAAATAAACATAGTGAAATTTTAGTTTCTTGTATATAATGTTGATGCAGGTCCACATCAGCCTATGGCTGCCTATCTTAATCTAACCTGCTTTATCAAATAAAAGTATGTATGTATGTATGTATGCATGTAGTCTCCTGGGTGGGCTACAGCTGTGTAATCTAACCTGTTTTGTGAAAATAATCATATGCATGGTCCCAAGTATTTTTACATTCACATGATCATTACTTCTCAATCACGTATAGCATTCTTGGCTTTTTGAAGATATAACGAGAGAAATTATACCGGTTGAACGCAGGCTAAGATATAACCATCACTTTATCACAAGCTACTCCGGTCAAAATCCATCGCGCCTCATCCCTACTGGCCTAAAACCTGTTTTGTGAAAATAATCATATGCATGGTCTTGAGTATTTTTACATTCACATGATCATTACTTCTCAATCACTCAACGACAGTAATTACACTGTAATTTAATGGAGCTGAATCCATTCCATCCATAATAACTATGCGCCAAAGCAATAAAGCAACCAAGGTTTATTTGTTTTTTCTGTTTTTTTATATTACAGAAATCATTTATAATATAATTTGGCTATAAAATATAGGTAACTTGCTGTTTTTTCCTTTGTCTCATTTTGCTCCTCTGACCATTGCGGGATCTACATTGTTCCCTTGAACTGAGATATTTCGAGATTGGCCCTAAAAATGTAAATGTATTCGTTATTCTTTTTGTTTTTAATATGGAATTTCAAAAGGTCCTGAATTATGAAGTTTTGTCTTCATTTTTTGGCATAATTTCTTGAACAAAGAAAGCATGACAGTTGCTTATTATTAATCACGTAAAGTGAAATTTATCAATATTCTAGGCTTTCACGAGACGTCATCAAAACACTAAACTCCAAACTCATATTTCGTCTGTCGTCTTGTTCTTTGGATTAAAATAAAATACAAATAACGAGAAGCCAAGGAGAATATTGACTGTCATCTATTTCAAGTCAAGCCATGTATAATTTTTAGCGCGTTCTAAAACATTTATCATTCGTCTGTCGTATCGTGGCTGGCTGAGTTAAAAACAATTTATAACAAGGAACCAATCTGAAAGGCTAAGTAACGCGATGTGTTACACATGAAATAATCTTACCTCTGGATTAGGTTTCTCGAGGTCCCAAATTCTGACAGTTCCATCACCAGAACACGAAAGAATACGTCGAGGATTTGTCTTGATTTTTTAAATTAAAAAAGGTAAAAAAGAAAAAAAAAATTAAAAAGAAATAAAGAAAGGAAAAAAAGGACACATTCAACACCGACTTCTTACCCTAACACACAGCACCGCACCCCTATGTCCTTGTAACGTCCGTAAACAAGTGCATGTTGCAGTGTCCCATTCCTTGATCAAGTTATCCCTGTTAAAAAAAATTCTTTGCATTAAAAAAGAGTTACATTGAGGTTGACTATTCCCTTAATGTTTCTGAACTATCCATGCTTTTAGTTCATTAATTAGAGTGCATACTATATATATGTCAGCGAAAAAAGTGTTCAAATTAGTGCAATTTCTTACGATATTTTTCTCAGATATATTGTATGCACTCTAGTGTCAATTGCCCTATTTCACTATGACGCCACTGCTTGTTTATGAGGGGGATAGAATCGCCAAATCCAATAGAAAATTCGACATAATTTGCTCCTAGTGAAAAATCTAAAATGACCTGGTTTTCAGATATAATATGTGTTATTATGTACTAAAAAATATTCTGAGCGTTTGCTGGCTATTCTACTTCTCTTCGTGGATTGATACGTGTTTTAGAACAATTTTCGGTGAATTTGCGTTGATTTGACCCCCTCCGACGACCATGATCCTTTGCGTTTAAACAATTGTTTTGATGTGACGTCATAGTGAAATAGGACAATATTGAGGGTCATCTTAAAGGAATAAAAGACTAATAAAAGAATAAAGGCCAGAATTTCCTGTTGGAAAAGAGTAGGGGTTCACTACCAATATTAAACCTCCAGGCAGTAGCGTAGCGAAGGGGGGGGATTGGGTCATGGTGGGGCACGTGCCCCCCCCCCCCCCATTAAATTTTTAAACAAAAGTTTTTGAAAACAAAAACAAAAAACAAAAAAACAAAAACAAAACATATTCAACCAAAAGGAAAGAGGAAAATAAATTATTGCAACCTAGAAGAGTAAGCTGTATAAATCAGTTTATACGAATACGAATTTGTTTCTTTTTTGTTTGCACATTTATTTGTTTATTTGTTCTATGGGGGAGGAGTAATTTTTTGGGGGGTTAGTATCCCCCCCCCCCCCCTCCAGCTCCTAGGTCCTCGCTACGCCCCTGCCTCCAGGGAAGCAAGGGTGGTCTGCACTGCTAAAAGGCTTCCTCTCACCAATGAGTCCAGGATTCGAGCCCTGTTGCAGTGGCATAACCAGGGGCCTTGCAGGGGAGGTGCACAGGCAATGCAGGTAACCAAACAAAAAGCAGAACCAAGATAAAAAAAACAAGGGAATAATGGGCGAGTGTTTCTTAAAAATGCTACAATATGCAGATGGAAAGTGGTTGTCATTTAATCAAAAAACTTTTACATGCAACTTTAAAGCAAAAGGAGATAGATTATGGGGGGGGGGGGGTGCACGTGCACCCTGTGCTCCCCCTGGTTATGGCCCTGTAGTGTCATATGGGAGTAGAGTTGTGAGTTAGAACAACACATTATTGCTTACCCTCCCCCAGAAAGGAAGTGTTCTCCAGTTACAGAAGCACAGATAGAATGAACAGAACCTTCATGAGCTTGGATTGCAGCCTCACAGTGGCCTGTATCAACATCCCAGAAAAACAACATACCATCTGCTGAACCACTGATCATAAGACCTCCTACCACCTAAAACAGGTCAACAATAACATAGTAAAGTAGTTTGAACTAAAGTACAACACCTCTTTTGGGGTCTAATTTGAGTCGGTCTCGAGTGATATAAATGGTAACGTGGAGTGCATAAGAATAAATCGAGAGCACTCGTGACTGATCTAGTTTAAGCTAGTGTGAACAACCCAAACAACTGTACCTAAGCTAGACCAAAATTTGTCATGCTTTCTAAAATTCTTATAAGATCTTTTGGAGTTCCAAATTACCACTGTGTTCCTAATTGATCACAGACTCATTTGCTCAGGTTTACCCTCGTATCAGTGTACCCTAAATATTCAAAATTATGGTAAGGTAAAGAATGCACAACTTCAACAATACAAAAACTTTGAAATTTCACAGACCTTCACTGGGTCGACACATGAATGTTCTTCACAAAGTTGAGGCTAACCCTGAGCAACAGAGAGATTGAAATAGGAGTACTCCATGATAATAGCTAATACACCAACACTAAACCAACTTACTATTAGAGATGTCACACCATCACTGTGTCCAGTAAAGACTCTTAAGACTTCTTCAGTCTCTACATCCCAAAGTTTTAGTGTTCTGAAGCAATGCCATAAAAAAAGTAGGTATAGATGATCATGTTTTACACAGAGACAAAGAGCTCAGTTACCATGTTACAGGGGTTTTTGAGTGACTTATGGGAATTCAGAGCTAGGGCTGCATTCAAATTGTATGGCGGGAGGGGGGTGGGCTGGTGAAAATTTGAAATATCCACAATAATTCATAACACCCCGCCTTAAAATCATGCAACAAAAATGTGATCCCCCCTAAGCAAGGCTTGTAGGTTCTTCCAAAAATGTGCATCCCCCCATTTTTCTGATAAAAATTTTCCCATCCCCCCTTTTTCCTACCAATATCTTCCTGATCCCCCCTCAATTTCACCTGCCCCCCCTCTTTCATACATCATGAATGCAGCCTAGGGGGACATTTTACGAGAGTGAAATCTTATGTTGTCTTAGTTTAAGTTTCATATGGAAGAAAAAACGATTCTGGCTTGCGCCCCCTCCTCCTTACCTTAAAATTTGCTCTAGATTTGTACTTACTTGTCTAAGGATCCACTCAGCACATATTGGCCTTCAAACTCAAGACACATCACGACTCCTGTAACAGCATGAAACAAGCAGTATAAGAGGATGCAATGAGAAAGAATAAATCCAAATTACAAGGAGGGATGAAAGACTGGCAAAATGACAATAACATGCAAGATTATTAGCAAGAGGGAAGAGATATTACTGTACATACCATCGTGTGCATTAATAACTTTGATACATTCCCATGTATTGATGTCCCAGACACGTATAGTATGGTCATGTGACCCACTCACTCTATCAATAATAATAATAATAAATAATAGTTTAATTATAGGTGAAATCAAAACATGGTGACAGATTTGAATACTATTGTTGTGGACTAACTAAGTAGCCTCTCATCACATCCGAAAACACTTTTGTCCAGAGCAATAGTTATAATATTCAATTGGTCGCCATATATTTTCGATTCAGTATATTTTATAGCATGGTCATCCGTAACCAATGCACACCTGGTAATAAAAATGAGTAATAAATAATATCTTAATAGAGAATTCACTGATGCTCAATTTTTTTTGATATAGTTAGAAAAGGTTAAGAAATAAGTAGTTAGTGATCAATGATGAAGATTATGAATTGAACTTACATGTGATGTTCATCAAACTTAAGACAAGAAACACACCCCTTGTGACCATATAGCACTCGTAGACACTCAAATTTTACAATATCCCATACCTATTAAGAATACATAAAGGAATGCAATTAAGGGAATTGTATTTTATTAACACAAGCATAAACTTTAACTGTAGGCTTGGGCTGGAACATAGATCTATTTGTTTACAAGTACAGACAGCTTTAGGCTGCGTTCACATGGACAAATTTTTTAACTGGTTAAAAAGTTATACGTTTAATGGTTCAGTTAACACAGGACTGAGCTCTCTGAACAAAAATTTGTATGCCTAGCCTTGCAAATTTTGAGCCTGTTCTCATAACATATTTGTTATACACATATTATTAATAAAGAGATGATTTCGTGTTAACGGCATGTACAGGTCAAATTTTTAATCATTAAAAATTTGTAACAGATGTTCTACATAAATGCTGCCTCATATGGATATGATACAAACAATTAAAGGATTGGTCATGTGGACTGAAATAGGACTGCATATTAAATTATTCACAAGCTCTTATACTGATTAACAATACTTACCATGATAGTCATATCCCAGGATCCACTTAGTATCTTTTTACTATCAAACTGAAGACAACGGACACCTCCCTTAAAGGAAAAAATCCAAATCAGGAATCAAAAGGCCAGGTAATTACATTAGTGTCCACTTATAAATTAAGACATTACAAGCATATTAAAAGGGCCGAGAAAGGAGGTTCTTAAACAGGGTTTTCAATACCCACTTTGATTCTGCAGAAAAACATAATAAATAGGTGGGGAATAGAGAGYGAATCTTTTTCCCATTTTACCTAAATTTTGGGGAATTTTAATCAAAATGGTTGGTGAGTTCATGAAAAATACCTCACAAGATTTGCTGGCTGCTCGGGCTTCTATTTAAAACCCTGCTTAAGGGTCGCTGTAGTCCCCCTTGTTCTTAAGTAAGAAAAAAACCTATATTCCCCAGAGGGAAGGTTGGATGATAATTTATTTGCTGATATTAGTGAGGAGTTACCCAAACAGGAATTTTTTTAAAATTTTATTTAAACATCTTTTGTTATTACATTAACCCCAAGAGCATAACACTCATCGAGGGGGTCTATTTTGTAATTATATTGCAAATATATAGTTATGTGGATGAAAGAAAAAGAAAATATATACATATAGGAACAAAAAATATAAAGGAACCATTACCATATTACAAGTAACATAGGTGGTGTGAAAAGCAGTTAATTACAAAAAGCATTCTAAATGAATACTAATTCTAATCAAAGCGCTTTGAATCTATTATACATTTCTGTACGGTTTTAAACAGGTCGCAATTCTGGTTCCCTTTAAGTTCCCTTTGAGTGACAGTCAGAATTGCAAACAGGAAATGAGAAATCCAGTGTCAATATAATCAATGTCCGAGGGTCATATCAAGATAATCCAACCTAAGCTACTTGATGATAAGGAGGGTTGTTCTTACCTTATGCCCTTTGAGTTTTCTTATACTTCTTCCACTTCTCACATCCCACACCCTAGAAATAAAAACTGGTAGATGAAGATATATTTTCTCATGCAACAGATGTCATAATTTCCAACAATATAGCCTGCATAGTATATCAGTGCAATCTAATGCATATTATTTTGTTTAACCACACATATCCTCATCCTGTTCGAGCCCTTGAAGGTGATGCCATGCTGGGAAAAATTATTGTTCCAGTTAACATGGCTGGCACATGATAATGGTCCTTTCTATGCGAAATCAAAATCAAGGCTTAGCCCTGCATAAATGAATCTGTTGTCAAGGAATACAGCTGTGTATTTTAAGAAAAGTCAATCCAACATACAGTAGCATGGAGGTTATGCAATATACCTTATTGTTCTGTCAGATGATCCTGTTATCACTCTCTTAAGATCAAACTCCAGACACAACACACCGTCCATGTGACCCTAAAAAACAAGACACAAGCAGGAGTTAAAATAGACAGTCCTCAGCGTAATGAATTTCCATTTGAGACCACGTGTCATTCATTTGAGAAAAAGATTCCAATTCTTTGTATGAGTTGTATCCATATCCATGTGACTTCTCATGTGCAACCATTAAACAAAGAAATGATACTATATGACATGTGGTCTGAAATGGTAAAACATTATGCCCAAGGAGGTCTATAATACAAACTCTGAAAGTAGGATATTTTTGGTTCGTCTTACTTGCAGTCTTTTAACTCTCTGCACTGCTAGTACTCCTTGAACTGCTAGGGATATGTAGTGGAATTTGGAGCGGGGGGTGCGCTTGGCATCCTGATCAAGAATAACAATGATTGTAAGTAAGGTTGTTTAATAGCCTTCCAAGGTTATCCAAGGTTACTGGAAAGAAAACTGGGATGAGTTGGCATTGCAGTGCATTGTGGGATTGTTTTGGGGGACAAAATAGATGTCATCTTGGAAATACATTGCATCAACCTTGAAAACGCTAATAAGCCAGAAGCTCATGTCTTACTCAAGTACGTGACAGCAGATTGAATTGGAATTTAAATAAATTTTTGTAGATTTATTAGAAGGAAAACCTACCAGCAGATTAAGAGCTTGCACCAGTGTCGGTCGAACATCTAAAGCAATATCCTCTGGTTCACGTCTCTCTCTCATTAATGCACGCAAGCTTTTTGCAAGCATCTTCAGATTCCCACCAGTCAAGTCGTTCTTGTCTTCATCTTTGGTTTCAAATTCATCTTGGTGGCCTCGTTGGTCTGTTGTTGCAGGTGACTGGGCGGGGCCAATATCTTTCAACGTCTGGACAACACTAATGTCGACTAAGTGTTTAAAAAACAAACAGATATGTCTATTTATAAATTTCAAACCCTGTATGTAAATTATTACAAAATCATCTACTTTAATTTAGTGGTAGACATACTTAGACCAAGCCCACTGGCAACTGCAGGAGGTTTAGCTCTTTCTTTAGGTACTTCCTTGACGATAGATGGTTTAACAACATCTATGAAATAAATATAAGTACAAAAATGTGAGGGGAGGGGTAGATTCTATCATAGCCATATCAGCAACCAATAGCTGGGGCAACGACAATATAAATAATTAGGTTACAATAACTTGGCTAAATTGATCAATAAATCTCCAAGCTTGAATGGCTTAAAATAACAGCAGTTCATTGGACAATGTCCAGCCAGAATTTGAAATTATCTGGTTAAATGGACTTTGCCTTGCTAGYCATTTTGACTTAAATTGTAACTGTGAGCCAGAAATGAGTTATGCCCAAGCTAAATATATTTTGGTCCGTCATCATGATCGGTGTTTGACTGTATAGCTAGCTGTTATTTTACTGTGCTGCGATACTCCAAGCGGGAACACTTTGATAATCTAGTATTATTAACCAATCATATTCCAACATTTAGTTCGATATTTTTAACCCACCAATCAGATAGCATAGCGTTACTGTTATCTGATTGGTCATTTTTATTCAAGTGGTCCTGGTGAGTGTGTCTGCACAGTAAGCCCTCATTTACAAGTAAATATCTAAGTACATAATGCAGTTATTAATGGGCCATGATTAAGCCCTCCATCATCATCCAATCAAAATTCAGTAGTAATTGTCCCCTCTAGGATGTTAGGTTGTCTCACCTGGTGATGGAGTGCCGATCAGCTTCTCGTCCAAAGATTTCTGTACAGGTTTCTTTTTGACAACTACTTCTTCTTGAGTTTCTGTTATAGGATGGAATTATAAAAAACATACTTTACAACCACCGATCCCCGTATGGGGCTCTTCCGTGAGGTTTGTTCAACACGTTATATTATATCACTGGTTCCCTATATACAACTTACAACACTCAACTCACATGTTGATTTTTACAAAGTGAGAAAAACTAAAGAACCTGGAGAAAAACCCTTGTGGTAAGGGAGAGAACAACACATCAAACAAACTCAACTCACATATGATCCAATCTGGGGTCGAACCCAGACCGAGGGAGGGGAGAGGTGAAGCACCACACCACCCATTAACACACAATCATAAGACAAGAATCAGGACAACGGCTGTTAACAACTTAAAATAAAATAAAGGACATACCCTGTACTTCTTCTTTTGTCTCCATGCTTTCCAACTGTTTGTAAAATGTTCTTACTTCTTGATATGCCTGTTTCCAGTCCACGAGGTGTCCCTTGCCGAGAGTTATTATCTTCATTGGCAGGTTAACTATTCCTTCATTAAAGCCTTTAAACAAGATATTAACAGGTGATTGTATTCAAGTTCTGTCATGATAATAATTGCAATGGAAGGGGCTGTTATGCTTAATACCCAAATTTTAATCCAACTACAATTGCAGACTGATCTAGAATAGAGTGAGAGGGGAGGGTACAGATAATGAATCAATGTAAGACTAGGTCAAAGGGACATAATAATAATATAATAATAATAATAAACTCTTTATTTACTGAGGGTAGCACTAAATAGCAATATGCTAACAAACCTGTGGCCCTCTAAWATATAAACTATGAATATATGTGTATAAAAAACTATAAAATTATAATTACAAGATAAAAACCCCTACACTAAAAAATAAATTATAACGAATAGTTAATAAATTATAATAAAAAAAATAAAAAAATAGAATGCACTAGATTATACTATAAAACGATTTAAAAAAAATAGAATGCACTAGGTTATACTATAAAACGATTTAAAAAAAATAGAATGCACTAGATTATACTATAAAACGATTTAAAGTTTTTTGATTATCTAAGAAATAATTTCTTTAAGAGCTTTTAGATGCAGTCAAAGAATCGTTTTGACATAATCAATATAATATGAAGTCAAAGGGTTATCTAGTCATCTAGAGATTGTGGGTCATCTAGAGATTGAAAGCCATAAATGTGAAACTAGGGAAAGATTCAGAGATCTCCACTAACTTTACAAAAAATTTTACCTAAAATTCTAACTTTTCTTCGCCACAAGCCACTTTCTTGACTTAGGAACCTCCATCGGCGACACACCTAATGAAGAGGTAAGAGGATTAAAGTAAGATTCTTTATTCCCAGTCATGCAATCATTCTCAAAGGAGTCAAGAGATTAACAAAGGATGCTAATGTGAAATCTTTTGTTAAATAGTACCACCATGCCCGACCAAAATGACATAAAAGTGCCAATGTTATATAATTAAGTGTTAAAAAATTACCTGTGAACTCCTGCATAAGCTCTTGATATCTAAATAAGAAAAGACTTTACGAAGCAGAACATCTGGAATGCTATCTATACCAGTTTGGTCTTTCAACCTAAAAAGTTTCATAAAATATAAAAGGTGAAGTGGTTCGAGATAATTCTTTGGGGGATCAAGACTAAGAAAGAAACACATGTTTGTTGATAGTACCTTCTACTGAGACATAAAGCAAAGAAATTCAGACAATCTGCATCACAGCACTTGACGACTTCGGCTAGCATATCAACTCGTTCGTGTGGAGCCCATTCATCAAGCCACTGAGATAAATCAATAACAGTTTATCAAAATAATATATTTTTGTCAAATATAAGTGCAATACATTGTCAGTCATGCCAGGAGAGACCGTTTAGAGTCATAAACCAGATAAGGAAATGATTTCCAAACCTTGATAGTAGTGGTGGGGTAGAGCTGCTAAAACACTGTCAAACAAGTACCATCATTTCCCCCTTCAACTTTGGGGGAGGGGGGGGGGTACGCAATATGGCATTGAAACACCATGTGATTTAGCCGACATTCCCCATTAGCCAATAAATGAATGAAAGCCCCTAAATTTAAATGGATGGGAGTAGGGAGGAGGTGGGGGCAAGAATAACAATTGGCAATAAGCCTGAAGCGAGATGACGTTTTACCCCCTGTCTCTAGACCATAATCCTTTTCACACTGCTTTTGTTCTTTAATTATGACTAATGTTCCTGTATTCTCTAAGGAATCAAAAATTTTAGTATGAAAGAATTTTAAGAACTATTATGGTATAGAGTCGGGGGTAAAACGTCATCTCGCTTTAGGCTTATTCTTATCTAAATATCTTGGATAGTCATAATTAAAATTAGGATCTTTTATCTTACCTGATTGATTTGATTTAACTGTGCCTTAAAAAACCTCGCCAGTCGACTTCGTCTGGGATTCAAGAGCTTTGGTCCCTCATGTCCTTCCCACCATTTGGAATATTTAAAAGATACAGGGTCCTTACCAAACACCTTCTTGTCTTCAGGACGAAGGACACTTTTCATAGTTCCTAATTTCGGTATTTTACTGTCCGGAAAAAAGTTTCGAGTGCTGACTTTTCTGAGTCTCAAAAATGGAGGGGCATGTTCGTGTCGGCGTGAAGGACGTATTTCTACCGTTGCTGCTGGAGTTACAGCAAAACTTGGTAGAGTTACGTCGTCCACTTCTGATACATGTTCGTATTCAACACCTTTTTCGACCGCAATTTCATGATAACAATCCCCTAACTCATCATGCTCTTCTGAGATTCTTCTAAGAGTTTCTAAATCTTGTTTTCCTAGTGATTTCTTTGTTTTTTCATCTCCAGCATCGATGGATTCTCCTTTGTCTTGACGCAAAGTTCGCAGATCAGTATCACCAAGTAAACTCGAAATGGTATGAACAAATCTTGGCTTTAAAAATATCGTGGGGTACGAGCCACGCAGTTCAAGAACAAAATCCCTATGAAATACTGGCTCTAAGGTCGTAATGAGTGAATGTAGTTGACTTTTAGAGACTTTTTCAGTCATTTTACATAATAAGATCCGTTTTTGCCAAGGCCTCCAGCTCGTAAACCAGTCACTAACTTTTTTACAAACTTGCTTCTTCGAGAACAAACTACTTACATCATTCAAGTCCGCGTACATTAATTCTATACTAGGTAGTGTCAATGGCTTAGCAAATGCCTTGTATTTCATTGCCTTTCGTGTTTTTCGTATATCTGTTCTCCTTACTTTCATGGCGGGGAGGGTTTTGGTGCCCGCGAAGTGACTATCGCGACCCGCCATCTTGATTTCTTGTGTTCTTGTACGCTTGTTGCTAGGGAACCGGGAATTTGTATGTATGGGCGAAGCTTCTGTTATGGGTTACCTGTATGCTTGTTGAGTAAGGCGCAAAAAGGCCCCCCTAGTTGAGAAAAAGACTGAAGGGAAGTTTTTACTCGAAAGGGAAAAAAAAAAAAAATGATATAATATAATATAATAGATAAAGAAACAGGAATGCAAACAGAAATAATTGACAATGAAATCTTATGAGAAAAGCTTCTGTTTTGAGGGCATAGACAGAGTATAATGCATGGGATTGCAATAATTTTTTCATTGACTTTCCAGCTTTTAAAATGGTAGGGAAAATCTAAATGTATGACATAAACATGTCCAGCCTCAGAAATCTGACTTACGCTTTTAAATTCTGAATTTCAATAAATCCTTTATTTTGGAAAATCCGGAACTGCGTATAACTAGCTGGATTGGACTGGATGTCAGTTAAGTGGAGCTTGAATCGAAAAAAAATATGCATTTTCAACTTTTGAAGGAGTAGGGATAATCTTAATATATAGTAAGAACATTTCCAACCTCTAAAATTTGGTTTATGCATCCAAATTCTGAATTTTAAGAGGTTTTATTTTTTGGAAAATCAGGAACCGCGTATAATTGGAATGGACTGGACGTCGGGTAAGTGGATCGTGGATCGAAACAATTTTTTTTAACGCCGAATTTGTAGCGTATATTCTATAACGTTTRTTTTAATTTCTATTACTAGTAATTTTACGCTGAAATTTTGCAGAAATAAGGTAAGATTTGTTATTTTCATAAAATTCAAAAATATAAAAAAAAAACGCCTTATAACTTTCAATTTCTTCTATATAGATGTTCAAAATTCTACAAATAGTTTAATTTCTGTTTAATATTTTAAAATCCATTTTCATTTAAACATTCAATTTCTCTCCAATTATTTGTTTTCTAAAAATCACTTTGAAAACTTAAAATTAACTTTGATTTTTTTAATTATATCGTGATGTTTTCCTCAAGCATACATATGGGACTTCCTCGTACTAGATCCCTACCCCCTCTCCCCTGATTTTCCTCAAGTCGACCCTACCTTGACATTGCTCATTCAACTATTTGTTGCTATTTGCGATGGTTTGCCTTTCAACAAGTTTCTTAAACAGTCCATTATCGTGGGCCATAAGCTGGTTATAAGACCCAGACTCGGCAATAGCGCCGTTATCAAGCACCACAATATGATCTGCATTCTTAATGGTGGACAAACGATGTGCAATGGTGATGACGGTGCGTCCTTTCATCAAGCGTTCTAGAGCCTCTTGGACCAAATGTTCACTCTCTGCGTCTAATGCGCTAAATAAAAAGGATTTCGTATGAGCGTTGAGGATTGCGTTACCGTGACTTCGGAATGGATTCAGTTCGTATCCAATCAAAAAGCAGGAAAACGCATATCATCCAATCGCAATGCTTGACATATATTGGAAGCCATGTGAATGTCAAGGCAATTCACTCATACAAACTTAGCGCAAAGGAGTTTTATCCAACGTTGCAAAAAATCATTAAGTTGATAAAAATGAAAAAATAAAAATGTTTATTTTGGACAAACAAACCTGGTAGCTTCGTCCAAGAGTAGTATTTTGGGATTCTAAAAAGAAATAGAATATTTAAAATTTTGCCAATAAATATGATCAAAGTAAGCAATACCTCAGTATACTTGACATACGAAATTTTCTTCATGTTCCCAAAACATTGTACGTACGTACCATGAGAATGGCTCTTGCAATAGCAATTCTTTGCCTTTGACCACCTATTGCAAAGAAGAGGACATACTTAATTCTTGATGAAACGCATGACAAGGGGTAATTTAGTGTGCATGGTAAACTTCAAGCATCTTTTACCAATTGCTGGAAGGAGCGTGAGAAAAGGTAGTAGAAGGATTGAAAAGGAGTAGAAGGAAAGGTAAGAAGTGGGATGAGGAGGAGAAGGAAAAGGAGAAGAAAGAGGAGAAGAAAGAGGAGAAGAAAGAGAAGAAGAAAGAGGAGAAGAAAGAGGAGAAAAAAAAGCAATAAGAGACTAAATAGAGAGGAAAGGAAAAGAGACACCCTCGCTTTCATTCGCAAGGTATTCACCCTCTGGGCTATCCTCCAATTTACCTGATAACATTTGTCCCCTTTCTCCTACAACAGTATCATAGCCTTTAGTGAAAGACTGTATGAAGGAATGAGCATTAGCTTGTTTGGCAGCATCGATAATATCGTCAGCAGTTACTTTCTTGTCCGCGGCAGCACCGTAAGCTATATTCTCGCCGATAGAGCAAGAGAATAGAATAGGATCCTACAGAAATATAAAGGTATTCTTACTCCAACGTTTCAGCAACAGCGAGAAAACTGTCACTGGACAGTTACAACTGTTACGACCCACGTACTTTCAAAACAGTTTGTTTAAAATGTAACTCTTGCAGAAGCCTCACTCTTGCTACCTCCTGTTGTTAGTTATTTGATTCAAATGTGTCAATATATCTACTTAAATTATCTTTATGCACTAAATTTCATTTAAGAAATTTTTTTGGGCCCGCAGTAATTGGCTTAACGCTGTTGCGGTCACCCTGTCATATATATCACAGAATTTTTCAGTCATTACATTTCCAGCTTAATATATGGCGAAACTAATAAATAAATAAATAAGCATACTACATGGACTACTACGTGTGCAGACAAGGTGAAAAACGCACTGCGCATGCTCGGACGTTTGGCGGGAAATTCGTAGGCGCGTTGTGTTTACAAATAAAACCATTGGAGACCTTTGATTCCATCACAGCGCGCGAGATTACTGGTCAACCAATCAGAACGCGTTCAGCATGTTCAGCACGGAACTCATGTTATCCTTTAAATCAATCAAAGCGCGCGAGATCAATGATCGACCAATCAGAATGCACGGAGACAGAACGTTTTGCACGGCAAGGCATGCGTACTGGGATATTATAGTCATACAAAATCTGTTCTATTGCATCAGCAAGGTACGGCCACAATCCATGTGACACGTGACTTGGCAATACGACAACGTCTGATTGGATAACTATCCTTATTCATTCAATCTTACCTGATGCACTGTCCCAGCACTTCCCCTCAACCAATCAAGAGAGAGCGTCTTGACGTCATGCCCACCGACTATCACGTGTCCTTGATCGGGATCGTACAGACGTAACAATAAAGACCCTAGTGTACTTTTACCCGACCCACTCGGACCTACTAGAGCCGTTACTGATCCGGCAGGAACGTCGAGAGTTAGGTCCTTGAAAATGGGTACATCAGGGCGGGAAGGGTACGAGAAGTGGATGTTCTGGAACTGGATTCCTTTTTCGAGGGCATTAATCGGTGGGACATAACCGCCTGGAGAAAAAAGAAGAAAATCCATTACTTAGGGATTCCTGTGTTCTGTATTCAGGATCTTACTTTTTTAATAACGGGAATCAAGGTTGTTGTAGCAGTAGTAGAGTCGTCTCTCACCTTAGGGGTATGGAGTTTGAACACTCTTCCTATGTGTGAATAGTTTACTAGGTTTCTCTCTGGATTCCAGGCTTTTTCTCTGGGTTCTCCTGTTTTACACCCTAAATTCCAATACGATAGGTGCCCTGACTTTCACAACCCCAGAGGATGTTTCAGTATTTGACCTATAGGTTAGCAGTCCCTTATTGATTTTTTTGATCCACAAAGGGTAGAGAATTAATTAAAATTTGAAAGTTCCTTGTGTAGTGTATTGGCAAGGATAAACATGGTGCTTTACAAATCCAGTCGAGCCTTTTAATAATGTCTTCCCTCCTTACTTTGAGAGAATATTTCGAGTCAATATACCTGTGATTGCAATTGCGGGCTTCCTGTCCATTAGCTGCCACAGTCGCTCACTAGCACCTATCCCTTTCATTAACTCTGAATAGAATGAACTTAGACCTACAGAGGAATTTCCAATAAAAAATGCATAAGAAATAACATTTTTTTAAAAATTCTAAAAAATAATAAAAATTTGAAAGACTTCAAAAGATTTGTGTACTATTTGGCAGTGGGAAGGGTACCCAAATGACAGAAAATAAGTTATTGCTGCCTTCCCTCTCTCCCCACCCCCCACCCCCCAACAAACAATAATTTCTTACTAGCTAATTTAACATAGGTTAACACAAAAGATAATGCAGAAACCAGAGATGGAAACAGGTTCTTGATAGGGGGGATGATGCTTTATCTATGATCTGAACATTCATAAACTCGTGTAACAATAACACAGTAAGAATGAGCTCATCTAGAAGGGTGAAGGGAGTTTGCATCCCCAGAGCTTTCAATAGAAGGCGGCAGATACTTCTGCCTAAACTGCCGGCTATTTTCGACTTAATAGTACACATAATTAATAAAAAAGGGGTCTAAAATTCCATTTATTGCCCCCTAATATTTGAGAATAGCCACTTACTCCAAAAAATATTGAAAGCTCTGCATCCCCCGCACCCTTCCCCTAGATCTGTCCCTAGAAACTGTGCATTTTATGCAAAAATAGGGGGGAATTAATTAAAATTTCATGCAGCATGTTGGAATCCAAACCTGAATTAAAAACATAACACTACAGTGCCGTAGGGAGATCCCAATGGCATGTGGAATTTACTTTAAATAAATCAAACATTTGTCTTACCTCCAACAGAGATTCCTACAAAGCCAGTGTAGAGGAGAAAAGAGGTGAGATCTCCAACAGAGATTTGTGCATCTGTCATCATTAATCCACCAGCGTATAAGACAGTGAGGACCACACAATTACCTGAAAAACCAGTCTAAACATTTGGGATAAAATATTGTTGCTTGTTGATGGATTGATTACTTTTGCTTATTGTTATTTTTGCCACATCAGAGTATCATCATCATCATCTTGTTACTTTGGTTTTATCAAGCATATATTCAGCCGTCATCATATTTATCATTCATCAGCATCAGCATCTATTGACACTATACCAGTGTGCAATCAAAATTATCACATTTTCTTGACATTCTCATCAACTTTAATTTCTACATCATCCACCATCTATTGATTCCATCATTATCCAGCTACCACAGCACTCCAATGTTGATAAACGTGGCATTGCCAAGTTATAGTATGAGCTCAAGTTTAAGTTCATTGAAGTTCATTAATGTTGTGCTTACATTTCAAAATGCATCAGGCCATAAGCTGCCTCAACTGTACATGCTTTGACTACGAAATCGTTTTTTTGGTTACCTATGAGTGCTCCAGATACTGACCTATTATTTGTGTTTTGTTATTCTTTATACTTACAAAGCCAAAGAACACAGCCCTTGCTAAAGTCTCCTTCATTGACAAGCTGAGAACATGTTCGATCTTTTCACCATACCTACAGCAGAAGACAAAACACTTAACAAAAACAATTCTTGTCATTTCCTGTCTAGTAAACAGGACTTTACATTTACGTCTAAACATAAACTTTTCTGTGATGAAAGAAAGAGTCTGTATTTTTACAGACCCTCTAAGACTTCCTGCCCAACCTCATTCCATTCTTGACTAAAATCAAAGCAAAAGTACCAAAGTACAAAGTTCCTGTTTGATAAATGAGTCTGCCATGCATTATTTTTTCTTTGTAACCTGTCAAAACAGTGTTGTATTAATATATGGATATGTATGTTTTTTATTTTAAAATTTCTGCCAAAAGAATAAATTGTGTAATGATGGGGATAATGCCACAGAATAAATAGATTACAAAAGAATGATCATAAAATGATTGAATGATGGTCAAGAAGGCTGAAAATTCTGTTGTATTGAAAAAACATGATCTAACACAGATAAAGTTTCTTTTCATTGATATGCCTACATCCGGCACAGTATTAGACTTACAAAAGAATATAGTTTGTCTTATATGAATTTGGCATTACATTGTGGCCCAAGTCAGATCATTGTAAGTTGCTGCAAAAAATACCTTTGGATTTCTTTGTTTTCCTGACCAAAAGCTCTTACTATTCTGATGTTTGAAATCCTCTCTTCTGCAACCTAGAATACATACAATGTCAGAGACTTAAAGTGATTTTTTTTTTATCTATCTAAGCCTCCTCTGCTGGAGACTCAATCTAACTATTTAGAGTACTGAGCACAAACATGGAAAAGTAAAGAGAGTTTTCATTTCTTTGTTTCCTACAGAGAGAGATAAAGGCAAAGAGATTCCTGCAGAGGAAGCTAGGATCTATCAACATTTCACACCACATAATAAACACAGGTAGCCTAATAGCAAGCATTTAGATTACCAAATCTCAGTAGGAATAAAAACACATGGCATCCCTTGGGTATAATAGGACGAGTGTGAGTTAAATAAGAAGCACCCCATTATAGAACACCTCTAGGGAGTTGGGTAACACTAGGTGTCTAGCTGAGAAAATAATATTTTAAAGACACACAACATCAAGTGATTCAGGCAACCAATCACAGTGCTCAATCTTTATCAAAACCAGCTTCATCATATAATAAATTCAAATTTTTCCAACCCATAAGATCCATCTTTAATTAAAGTGCCTTAGAGGCAGGGGGCTCAAGGGGAAACTGGGGAAGCCATAAGATGACATGGAGCAATTTCCCCTAGCCCCCCCCCCCCCCTCCCACTCCGAAGATTAGCTCTCCCCAATCAAAGCAATGTGCTCCACGGCCCTGTAATAATTAGTCAAAATATATCAAGAAAAGGTTTATATTAGTTTTTTTACCTGTGTTGCATCAGCCAGGGAATCTTGTACTTTCCTTGTAATGGATTTTAAAAACCTTCCATATATTACAGTCCCAACTGCGACGGTCGGCACTATCACGAGGACTAGGCCAGCTAGTTTGGGTGAGACATATACCTGACAGATGACATTGTTATGCTTTATCATTATTTACAATCAATTTATTAGTCGGCATTCTAAAAAAATCATTTGTCTGCCTCTCTGATAACAGGACCATCTGCCAAACTAGCTGTGATATATAATAAAAGATTAATTAATGTGACTGCAACTCAAACCCCAGCTCATCTACTCACCATCATAGAGACCCCAGCAATAGCTTGTGCAGTTGCTCTAAGTCCATCAGAAACATTGTCAGTCACAGCTTTGCCGACAAGGACAGTGTCAGCTGACAGGCGGTTAATGAGCTCACCTGTCTTGTTAAGATCGAAAAATGCTGTTTCTTGTAGCATAATCGAGCTAAATAGTTTATGTCGGAGTCTTTTGACAATCCTCTGCCCTAAAATTTAAAAAAATTCAAATGTATAAATGTAATTTGGTGGGCTACCTGTGGCAGCAACATCAGGTCCTTTTATCACTGTTATACATGTAGGACCTTTGCACGATGGCGTCATTGACCTCTACTACCAGAATCCCTTGCACATTTTCTATTGTTTAGTTAATTACCACCAATTGTCTTACTATTCTCATGAGGGAATACAAATTTAAATAAAAAAGAAATTTTGCGAAGCATTATGGTAGTGGGAGTCAAATGACGCCATCGTGCAAACGTCCTATTGGGTCGGATTGTCACTGTTATCACTAGGTATGTAGCATACCTGCCATCTGAACAAGATAAACTCTACCAAAGTTAGCCATCCCACCAACCAAAAATACTCCAAAGAGAATCTTGCAAATATTTGACAGCAATTTCATTGTCTGCTCTGGGTCTTTACTTGCAGTGTAAATAATGTCAATGATTTTCCCAATGCAAAAAGGAACAGACATGGTGACCGCAGATGACACAATTAACAAACCAACAGCAGCTATAATAATAGAAAGAATAATAATGATCAACATGAAAGGTAACTGCTCAATTATTTTAAAATTGATATTACAAAATATTTGAAATATAGCACACATGCTGATTGGTTGGATACCATGTTCATATCAGAGGACAGAAACATGCCTACGCAAAATCATTGAACAATATTTAATTAAATGTAATATAAAATGGCTGCATATACGTCTACTGTATTGTGATATAAACACTCTGTGAGCTGTAGAGCAAACAAAATGCCAAGAGAAACATATGTTCCTAAAAGCTTGCTTCTCTTGTGCTCTAAAGCTCCCAGCATGTTTAAATTCATATACAGCACTGAGACATGCCTGTCCACTACTCAGTCAGGGGTGGAATTAAAGGAGGATTAGTTAAGTTTACTTCACATGAAGATAAAACTAACTTACCTATGAGATGTACAGTCTCTGGCTTGGCTAAGGACAATAATCGGTATGCATCAGGCTTTTTCAGTGTCTTTTTCACAGAACCATTAGCATTTTTGCCATTTCTTGAAACAATTTCTTTTTGAATATTGCTAAAAAATCGAAAATGAACTTTAACAGTTGAAAACCCTCGACCATCACTACCAAACACTCTCAAAGGAGCATTAAACTTGGGAGAGTTGATAAAAAATGTTCTCGTGGTGGAATAATATCTAAAACTTGGAAAATAAGGCCAAATATTTGGACGAGTGAGGGCAGCAAGACGTAAACTGAAATTCCCGCCATTGCAGACAGCTCCTTGAATCGAAGACACCAAGCGAAACATGCCGCAAAGTGAAGATCCAAATTATAACGAAAAGCAAACTCTTACGAGAAAGGAGAAGTGCAGTAAGGAGCAAATCTAAACTCTTAGCTAAACTACAGCATTTTTAGATGAAGGAGTAAGCTTACTACAAGGTTACGTAACTTATCAGTTCCAATGTCTGCATTAACAGCAATTATCGACAGGCGTTCCTACCATGAAAAACCACAGCACGCCCAAATATCTGACAAAACACAGGCATCCCAAAACGTCTCAACTTGCACTATCGAGGTGATTAATTGTTTGGTTTTTTTCTGTGGGTGAGGGAGAGAGCAACCGTATGTTTCGTGCTTATCAGTTTGTTYGTTCTCTTTTAATGCCTTCGTGGGTAGCTAAATCTAGTATAAATCTGTTGCGTGATCAACCTTGTACTGAAACATTTTTCTCGATACTAGCATTGTCAGCATCGTCCTGCAGTCAGAGAGGAAAGAAGATAAACAAGAAACACTTTAAAATTCTCCGTAAAACTCATTTGTAATCTCTCGAGTATCTTGCCAAAGAAGACGAAGCCTTAGTCTAGGTAGGCGGTGGCAGCGGTTTGATATGCGGTGAGGTAACCACCACCCATCTTCTCCCACATCTTCCTCGTGCGCAGATGGCATTCCTCTCTTCACGCCACTCCTCCTCATCAATAACCACCCAAACATTTCTCCATGCGCAGTTCACTAGCGCAGCAGCCGCGACTTTCACCTCAATTTTCCTGTTCCCTCACCGGTAGTTGCCGCCCCATATCCACCCTGGCTCCTTTTGTGGTCAGTTGCCTAGCAATGAGTAAGTAGACCCTCTTCACCTCAACTTCCCCCTTCCCGTAACCCCCCGTCCCATCCACCCCTCCCTCTGTGTTCCGTTGCCTAGCAATAGTCCAATGACCGTACAACCCACGCTTCACCTCAACTTCCCTCCACACTAGGAAAGCGAGGAATACAGATTATATCAATTCAGCAAATGAACCAATGACTTAACATATCTTTGACCGAACATTGAGATATGATTTTAAAATGACAGCGGTTTTGGATGCTCGACACGAGGTAATTTCTGCACCGACATTCTCACTCTTCGGTTACTCTACCTTATCTGGAAATCACTTCCTTAAGGAATGCAACTGAAATGATAGGAAGGTATCGATTAGCACTGATATCACGGAAAGGGAGGGTTATCGCCTTGTACGAGCTTGTACTCATATTTAAATTTGTATAGAAAAAGAGTGTCTTGARTGTCATTTATCTAGCTAAACCAATATTAAACTTGACTGAGTCTTCATAATAGAATGATCGAATACCCTAATCACAAGAACCTAAACTAAATGATAAAGTGCATGCTGTGCCGATTCGAAATTATATTCGAGAGAAAGAGAGAGAGAGAGAGAGAGAGAGAGAGAGAGAGAGAGAGAGAGAGAGAGAGAGAGAGCAGAAGGAGTAGTATTCGGAGGTCGGAGGAAAGGGGGTAGAAGAAGATTAAGTCTTTGAGGTCCGTTAGTTTTAAGAATTCTGAGATTAATTGTGTATTGAAAAAGGGAGAGACAGAGGCAGAGAGGTCAATGAGTATAGAAGCCCTCAAGCTAGCTTAAAGCCCCATTTACGTGAGAGAAGGGAGACCCTTGTACTACAGAAACATGCACATGTCTTGCTTTCGCTCCCGCACGACAATAAGTCCTAGTTCATCTTTAAACACAGCTGCGGTATGAATCTTTAACAAAAAAGGGGGAGAGGAACGCAAAAATAAAAGAACATTAAATTTTATAATTAAAGCAATACAAAAATTGAAGTCATGATCAAGATGTATTTGACAAACCGATAGGCTATTACTAACATGTTTAACGGCAAGCAAAGGATCAAAGTAAAGGGATGATTGAGCTAATGTAATGATTGACTCACATATTTCATCCCCCATAATACCTTAAAAGGCTAGTAGTTGACCCTTATAACTATTTAACTAATTAGATTTTCCGTTGTAATGAGCTAAAATTTAATTCGGCAGGTTTTACATATTTTGCTTGCATGATTTCTAATCTACCGGTTTTAATCCTAATCATTTGAACGAAAGTCGTAGTCAGCCTCAGGTTCTTCTTGAAGGGACCACGCTTCCTCCATCAGCCACCTTTGAGGCTGCTGCTCAGTTTACACAACATGCAATCGAAATTGGAATACTTTCAAAACGTTTTAACGTCATCAAACTAACACAATCATAGCTGCCAAAACAACGACACTAGAGAGAAACACTTGAGAGATTAGAGCGGTGCTCTGATATGCTTTTGACGTGACTTTCTTATGCGCAAAAAAGTTATCTCGCATGTGAAAAACCTGTTGTGATCGTAACTATCCAATGGTTACTTTGTTACCGAAATAATATGTGTAGTTTACTTTGTTTAATAGGCTATATTGTACCACCTAAGTGCACCCTAATAACTGTAATGATTTAAGCTTGTAAGCTGAATTCCATAAAAATTATTCACTTYATATAAATTAATACTGGTTGTTTTGTTTTAAAAGCTATTCACGGAAGTTGGTTGGGCGCCTCGTAAAGTTTTGTATTCTTTCTTTCGTTGATCCATCATCGATTATTAGATCCTTTTGTTCTTATCCATCCATCCATCCATCCATCCATCCATCCATCCA